TCCCATCCCATCACCCCACGCTCGAAGCAGCCGCCCCGCTCCCGGTGACTTCACGAGCCGTTGCCATGGCAGTAGCGTGAGGTCACCCGTGCGAGGAGCAGCCTGGGTCTACCCAGCCGGGGACACCCCGGTACCCCAAAACTCTCCCACCGTTAACCCTTGCCCTGCCTGGCAGACGCCAGTGCCTTGGAGCACACGTGTCCCCCCAAAATACGGTGCCATCCCTTCGGGGCGCCACGTCCCCACCCGACTGCGGTGGGCAGCACAGCGAGAGGGTCGCAGGGACGCGGGGATGGGGTCAGACCTGCCCGATGCTCCTGGGGACCCCTCTCTGGGCACCCACAGTCTACCGTGCCCTGAAGAGCTGCTCTCGGGGAGCACTCCTGGTCACCCTGGTGCCGGACATCCCTTCTCTGGGCAGGAGTTGAATCCCCTTCCCGAAGCTGTCCCCCAACACCCATCCTGGCCAGCACCCGTCACAGCTAGCACCCACCGCGGGGCTGGGGATGCTCAGGGTGAGTAACGGGGCAGCCCGGGGGGTTCCTGACCCTGGCCCCCAGTTCCACAGGACAGGGAGGGGACGTAAGTCACCCTGAAAGTCACCCCGAATGGGGTATCAGGCCTTGGAGGGGGCAGGGGTCTTGTCTGCGGGCAGCTTGTCCAGCCGGGGACACAGAGAGATCCCTGGGGGGACAGAGGCAGAGGGGGACACAAAGTCATCCTTGGGGGCACTGGGGAACACGGGAGTGTTCCTGGGGCTACAGAGGCATTTGGGGACACAGGGGCATCCCTAGGGGACAGAGGGACACCTTGCTAACAGGGTTAGTGGCAGATTGGGGGAAGCCGAAAGCCTCGCCGGGGGGTCCCGGTACCGGAGGCAGAGGCAGCCCCGGCATGAGGGAAGGGACACGCCGAGGACCCACCGGAGCACGGCGTCCCGCGACCCATCCCGGTACCGGGGCAGCTCAGACCGGCCCGAGGGGCTGGGGCCGCCCACGGTGGGGGGAAAAGTGGGAGCCCCCCAGGCCGGGCTCCGCCGCCCCTTCCCCAGCGCTCCCCACGGCCACCTCCCCCGCGGGGCCGGGGTCCCGCCGCCCCCGCCGCCCGCACTCACCGGCCCGCGGCGGTGCCCGCTCCCCGCCGCCGCCGTGCCCCGGCCGTCCCGGGCCGTGCGCAGGAACGAGCCGCCCCCCGCACCGCCCCCCGCGCCGCGGCACACCGACCCCTAGGGGGAGGAATGCACCGCACCGGCACCGCACTGGCACCGGCACCGCACCGGGACCCTACCGGCACCGCACCGGCACCGCACCGGCACCGGCATCGCATCGCACCGGCGTTGCACCGGCAGTGGCAGTGCACCGGCGCTGTCACCGGCACAACACTGCACCGCACCACGCTGGCACCGGCACTGCACCGCAGTGACAGCAGCACCAGCACTGGCACTGCACTGGCAATGGCACCGCACCGGCACCGCGGCCCCATGGCACGGCACCGAGAGGCCCTCTGGCACGGCATGGCACAGCACCGGGGCTCCCGTGGCACAGCACAGGCCGGCACTGGGGCACGCCTGGCAAGGCACAGCACAGCACTGCACCAGGGCTTCCTGCACCCATCAGGTCACAGGTCATCCCAGAGACCCTCAGCACCCACTCTGTGCCACAGCTGGAGGTGCCCTGGGGTCCCATCAAGGCACTGAGCCCCGACGGGGCTCCTGGGCTGGACTCCCACTGGGAACTCCCCAGATCTCCTCCAGCCACTCACCTGCACCCCACTGCCAGCCCAGCCCCTGCCCCCTCAGCCCCACCACACCCCACGTGCCAGCACTGCCCGTGTGCCACCCCCAGCCAAACGTGTTACTGGCACAGCTCATCACCAGCCACACCACTGCTTCCCCATGCTTCCCAGCTTCCCCGTGCTTCCCAGCCTCCTTCCTCTGGGAATTTCCATCATCTTGGGCATCATCAATATCCACACTCAGGTGCTACACCAGGCTGTGCCTGTCCACTGCCATTTTCCTGTTATTTCCCCCCAAAATTCTGCCATTCCCTCCAGCCCCGCTGCCTGGGGTGCAGGGGAGCAGCCCATCGTGCCACAGTGATGGCCACTGTGGGGACATGGACCGGGCAATGGGGACACCCACCAGGCCACTCTGCATTGCTGTCTCTGAAGGTGCTGTGACCCCACAGTGCAGTGGCCCTGGCAAAGAGCATGGAGGTCCCACCTGCCCAGGCACCAGGGCACCCATGGGCTCTTTCGTGGTGGCTGGTTTTTGCCATCTCCTGATGGTGGGGACCCTACTCTGTGTCACCCTGAGAGCCCCAAGGCAAGAGTGATGGACCCTGACATGGCTCTGGCAGTCTCGAGGCAGCAGTGATGGCTCCGGGCTGTGGCCAGGGCAAGCAGTGGCATAAGGAACAGCGTGGGGACAGTGGCCCCAAAACTTTCCGGGGTGCCCCATGGGCACCCATCCCACATCCGGGAGCACAGTGCCAGGAACTCTGCCTGCGGGCACGCCTTCCCCTGCCTTCACTGCACTGTTGCCTCTTCTCAGCCTGCAGTGCCACCATCCCCCTGGTGACATGTGTCAGTACCACCAGCTCTGATGGCACTGGGTGACAGCCACCCCTCTGCCCCGTTTTCCCCCAGGGAGGGGGAGTTTACCCCCAAAGGGTAAACAGCAGGCACAGGGCTCCTGCCCATGTGGCTGGGACCAAACCCAGCAGGGCTCCAGCTGGGGTGACTGTGGCGGTGACAAGGACCCCGTAGTGCTGGTGACAAGAACCTGGCAGGCTCTCAGAACCCCCCCAGCAGCCACATTCCTCCTGAACCTGTTTGACAGGGCCCCGTGCAGGTGCCAAGGAAAAGGCATCCGGGTTGGGCTTTTCCTGGTCATACCCTGCTTCACTCCGGTGCCAAGTCAACAAGGAGGAGAAGGAGTATTTGCTGAAGCCTGGTGCCCTCCCATACTTCTGCTGCTGTCCCCCCAAATGCTACTGGTGCCCCACAGTTTCTCACCCCCCGGGAGGATCCTGAAGAAAATTGAGAAGGGGAAGAAAGAGGAGGCAGAAACAAGTGAAAAATTACCCAATTTAATCCCAAAGCCCCCCCAAGCTCCAGGGTTTCAGTAGTCCCCTGTGGCCCCCCCAGCCCCCTACCTGTGCAGCCCATGGGGCCCCTGCTGAGCACACCCTGGGAGTGCCTCACAGCTCTGCTTTGGCTCAGGGAGAAGGAGCTTTCCAAGGCATCCAGCCTCTTCCTCCGCTCCACCGGCATCCCCACGCTGGGACCCAGCCCTCAACCCAGTCCTCACCCCACCCAGAGCCCTTAGGAAGGTGTCCTGATGAAGACCATCCTGCTGGAGTAGACCAGGTCCACCAAGTAGGCGATGAGGTTGAAGATGGTGAGGAAGGTGACCCCCAGGTGCTTGTCCCACGGGCAGCCCCTGCCACAGTCACTGGGACGGCCCTTCCCCTTGAAGCTGTAGAGGGGCCAGAGGACGGTGGCAGTGATGTACATCAGCAGGGCCAGGAAGTTGTACCCCACCAGCACCTTGTCCAGCGGGCAGGGAATGTAGGCGAGGCACCGGCCGATGGTGAAGATGATGATGAGGAGGGTGAAGATGAAGCAGATGGAGTAGACAGCCACACACCACATCAGGCCGGGTTCCTTATTGTATTCATCCAGCAAGGAGAAGATAAGACAAGCCACGTAGGCTTCAAAGACCTTGAGGAGCCCAGGCACAGTGGAGAGGAAGCTGCTGATGTCCCCGGGCTTGGCACGGGTCAGTCCCACCTCGACGGCGTAGGCGAGGAAGCAGAGGAAGGAGGTGGTGGTGGCCACGGCCTGCCGGGCACACTTGTTGCTGCTGCAGGGGCTGCTGATGAAGGTGGCAGGGAAGACCACCGAGGTGGTGAAGACCATCAGCACCGCCAGCATGGAGAAAGCCGAGGTGAAATCATCCCAGGAGAGTGGCAGCATGGGGTAGAGCTCCAGCAGCTCCAGCAGCAGCACCAGCAGCGTCACGATGAAGCAGAAGCACCAGGTGAACATGCACCACGTCCCAAAGGGACCCCCGAAGTTCCCCGTGGAGGCCACCAGGCTGAAGGTGAGGCAGGACAGCACGACGGCGCAGAGCCGGACAATGCCCACCCAGGAGGTGAGGGCGAGCAGGTTCACCCTCGCCATGGTCCCGCCGGCGCTCCCGGCCACGCCGCACGCCCCAGAACCGCTGCTGCCGGCAGCCGCTCTTATCTGGGTGCTGGGGCTGAGGGGTGGGGCACAGGGCAGGGAGCTGCCAGCCCCTCCAAGCCACTTGTGCTGAGGACCCCCAGCTGCTGCCACCAGCACCACGCACGGCCGGCCCGGTGGCTGCTGGGGGCTGGCGGCCACGCCGGCGGGTGGATCATTAACGCGGGGCCGGGCAAAGGGTGTCGGTGCTGGCGGTGATGCCGAGCCCCACGGCGGGGCCGGGGCAGGCAGGAAACACCCTGTGCCACTGTCCTGGCACCGTGCCCCAGCCCTGCCCACAGCAGGAGGCACAAAGGGGCCTTTCATGCACCCCAGGAGTACTGGGGGGACCACCTGGACACCCCATCCCCACAGAGTGCCAGGGTTGGATGCCAGCGGGGCAGCACCCACTGGGCCCACCTGAAGGGGTGGGGGGCTGAACCCTCTGGCAGGGGGGTGCCACAGCTGGGTGTAGCCCCCTCACACCCTTGCAGGCGACACCTCCACACCCCTCTGACACCTCCAAACACCTCTGGCACCTCCACACCCCTCCTGGCACCTCCACAACCTGATAAGTGGCTCAAAGTCCACCTGTGCCAGCTGCTATCACAGGGCAGGACGGGTGAGGTGACCATGGGGAGGGCACCTGCACCTGCCCACCCCGGCACACCCCACGGGCAGCACCCCCACCTGCCCAGGGTGCCTGGGGGAGTCTCATCCAGGAGCAGCACAGGAGAGTGGTGGCACATCAGAAGTGCAGAGTGCAGCAGGAGGAGGTTGATGCAAAGGCTGAAGGCTCCAGCCTGACCTTTAATGTCACACGGGGTCCATGGGGTCTGTGCCCATGGCAGAGCCTGGGGACGAGGGACCCACATCGGGGCAGCTGGGCACTGTCAGGGGTCACCTCACCCCAAATTAACATGGGCTCCTCACCCCAGGCAGGGTCTGGGCACAGCCATGGTGGGCAGGAGTGGGCACTGCCGCGGGGTCCAGTGGTGGCTCTGGGGGGCATGAGGTGGCTCAGAGGTGGCTGCCACCCTCACCTTTGCCAGGCAGCCCGTTGAGGGGGCTCAGCACTGGCCGGTTGCTCTCGTTCAGCCGCCGCACGCGGTAGCTCTCGTAGTGGACGTTGTGGGTGATGTCCTTCAGGTCCTGCAGGTGTGACCTGCTCAGGGTGGCAAGGGGAGGAAGGGCATCATGTCACTGTCCACTCTGCCCTGCTGTCACATCAGGAACTCCAGCATCCCCTACCCGGTCCCCCACTCACCGGATCAGCAGGTCCCGCAGGAGGGGGAACTCGCAGTGTGCTGGGTTCTCCACTGCAAAGCAAGGCAGAGGGGCAGCAGGTGGGTAGTGGGCGGGCAGCAGGGCATGGTGGTGGGCGGATGCCCAGGGAGCACATCCCAACATGCTCTAGGTACCACTGGAGCACCAGCATGGCTCCATGACACATCTCAGCACACACCCAGGCAGGGACGCACCCCTGGGTGCTGCTCTCTGCAGCCCCACGGGCCCCCCACGCCTGGGGAGGGCTGGAGGTGCAAAGGGCTCCGCTCACCTTCGATGATGCCCCACTTGGTCTTGCGGCCCAGCACTCGCTTGCCATTCACCTGGTGCTCCTGGTCCGCCCCCACCACGGCAAAGGGGATCTTCTCCTGCCAGTGCAGAGTACTGTGCTCACCCCGGGTGCTCCGGGCTGCCCCAGAGGGTCTCTCGCCCACCCTTCTCCCCAGGGTTGGCACCCCCAATCCCAGCATCCTGGCACTCACCCGAATCCTGTCATTCAGTGCCCTGTCTTCAGGGTCCTGGTCAAAGTCCTCCTGTGGGTACACGCTGATGGCGTGGGTCTTCAGGTCCTCCTGGATCTGTGGGATACAGGACTTGAGCTGGGCTGGGGATACAGGGGGCACCCTAGGAGTGCCCCAGGACCTGTCCTCACCCGCTGCTTGAACTCTGCCCGTTCCTCCAGGGTGAGTGTGTCGGCTTTGGCGATCACTGGCACCACGTTGACAATCTTGCTGAGCCGCCGCATGAACTCCAGATCCAGTGGGCGCAGCCTGCCAAGGACCACCACCATCACCCTCACGTGACCCCACCCCTGTCACCATGGGGTGACCCCACCACCATCACCCTGAGGTGGAATCACCACCATTGCCCTGGGGTGACCCCCCCATCATCACCCCAGGGTGACACAACCATCCCAGGATGACCTCACCACCATTACCTCAGAGTGACCCCATCACCATCACCCTGGGGTGACCCCATCACCCCACAGGTGCTGCAAGTGAGGACTCACCAGTGACCTGTGGGGGGGACAAAGTAGACACATCCATGGACTCGAGTGTCTGGGATCTTCCTCTTACGGGTGATGAGGATCTCCTCCCGTAGGTACCTCTCGTACTGCTCGTTGATGTACTTGATGATGGGGTCCCAGCTGAGGACGAGTTGGGGGACAGCATCTGAGCTCAACCCCCACCCCAAACTGTCATGCACCAAGCTGGGCTGCTGCATCCCACTGTGTCCTACCAGTTCTCATTGTTGATCTGGTCTCCAAACCCCGGCGTGTCCGTCACTGTCAGCTTCATCTTCACCCCCTTCTCCTCGATGACTGGGGCAGAGAGGTGGGTCAGTGGGGATGAAGCATTTGGGAGAAGGAGGGGACTGGGGGAGGGGGGTCAGAGGCTGCCCTCACACCTCCCCCTGGTCCTCTGTTTCTCTCAGGTGTTGGTGGGACATGTCCCCATGGTGATAACCTTACCATGGGTGATAGACTGGAGCTGCACTGTCTTGGGAATACGTTCCTCCTGCTCAGGCTGTGAGGATTTGCGGCTCACCTTGGACTTGAAGAGGGTGTTCACCATCGTCGACTTGCCCAGCCCACTCTGCCCTGAGGGGACACCGGCAGCTCTGGTTTGTCCCCCAGGGTGGTAACACCTCGGTATCCATTAGAGAGTATTCCAGAGGTTGGGCTAGTTCAATCTACCTCCCAAATAAATTTATTCCCCAAGGCCGTAATACTTCATTATCCATGGGAAGCATTCCAGAGGTTGGGATAGCCCATCTTATCCCCCCAAGTAAATTTATTCCCCAAGGCAATAACCCCTTGGTAGACATTTGGGAACATCCCAGAGGTTGGAATAGTCTGGTTTATCTCCCATATAAATTTATTCCCAAGGTTATAACACCTTGGTATCCATTTGGGAGCATCCCAGAGGTTGGGATGAGCTCACCTATCAGCATCACTATGTTATGCTGATATGGGATGTTGGGGTATGGGATGTTACTCCTCTTCAATTCTTTGCTACTTAAATAATTTAAAATCCCTTAGATTTCCTTAAAACCCCTTAAAAGCATAATTTCCCTGGCATAGCAGAATCAGAGCCAGGATTCCCACCCCAGCCAGGAGCAAACCCTGGACCCAATGCTCACCCACAACCATGATGTTGAACTCAAAGCCCGTCTTCATGGTTTTGATTTTCATCTGGTCGAGCACAGCTTCAATTCCCACATATCCAAAGAGCTGGCAACCCACCGGGCCGGGCGCTACAGTGACGGGCACCTCCTCCTCCGGCACGGCCGGCGGCTCCATGCTGCACTCCTCGGGCTCCAGGCTGCTCCCTGCACGGGTGGGCAAAGGCAGGTGAGCCCGGAGCCCCTGGTGCCCACCCCTCCGCCGGCACCGTTGCCCCAGCAGCAGCCGCGCCGGCGGGCACACAGCCCCGGCACATTCCTGGCAGCCGGCGAGGCTCAGCCTGGCAACACGAGCACGCCACCCCCGGCACACTGAGGGTGCTAAGGAGGTGCCAGGGGCATCTTCAGGTGGCTCTGCCACTGGACCCCCCCGATGCCACCGGTTGCTCTGCGATGTGGCATCGGGCAGCATGGCCATGGCCAGCTTCCTTTGCCCGGCCTATGCTGCCGCCCATGCCAAGGCCACCTCCTGAAGCACCGCTCCGGCCCCGGCACAGCCAGAGGACTCCCGGCCTGGGGCAGGAAGAGCCATCCCACACTGTACCCAGGCATCGGTCACTGCTGGACAAGGGGCACTGGGGGGTGTCGGAGAGCGCAGCGCAGGCACCGGCACAACCTGAGCCCCCGGGACACGGGGTTTGTCCGGGGGACCGTGCCCAGAGCATGCCCCAGCCTGGGGGCCACCGGAGCCCTGCGCCCGCTCCAGCCCTTTGTGCGGCAGCTTGGGGGGCCTCCAATCCCTTTCTGCCTCCTCCTTCTCCTCTTCCTCCTCCCGCTTCCCAGCAGGGCCATTGTTCAGGTCCTACCTCGGCGCCGCGGTGCCCTCGTTCAGCTCCTCGCTACGGTCGGGGGGGCTCCCCCGGGTGCCATCAGCATCCCCAGCCCCAGCAGCACTGCAGCCCGGCCCCCTTCCCTCCGCCAGCTCCCGACTGGCACCAAACCGGCTCCGGCTCGGCTGCCGCTCCCACGCATGACCAGCATGGCAATATCCCGCCTCCCGCAGCCCCCTCCCCGCCACAGCCAAGCCCCTGTGCCCAGTTTGCCGGCTGACTGCTGAGTGCGGAAGGCACCGACCGTGCTGTGCCCACCCGACTGTGCCCACCTCAGCCTCCAGCCAGGCCAGCGTGGATGCAGACCACCCCCATGGCACAGGGACACCCCTACTCCCCGCCACAGCACCCATTGCCCTCGTGGGTAGTTGCAGTGGCACTGAAGGGGAGTGGGAGTGTTTGACTGTGGGTACCATCCCCACTGGCACCCACGCACTCCCTGGCACCAGGGACCACCCCAGTAGCACCCGTGCCCAGCCCTGGCACAGCAGGGTGGGATGAGGGGTGGTGGCCGTGCCACCCTCCCGCTGCCGCAGTGCCCCACGGCGCCTGCGTCCCCCCACACCACAGCCTCCCCCATATGTGCCAGCCAGCTCTTGGCACCAGCGAGGCCGGAGTGGCAGCTTGTGATGTCCCAGGCTGCCAGGTGTCCTGCCGAGGCCGTGTCTGTGTGCCACACAGCCAGGGGACCAGGGACATGTGGGCAGGGGCCAACCTGAGCCAATCTGGGGTACCAGATGATGGAGCTGAACACACCCATTGCCATGGCAACAGCATCCAGCTGGTGGGGGGGGCACCCAGCACCCTGTGCCCACTGGGTGGGCACCTTGCCAGGGCGATGGCAGGGTGGGGGACAGCAGTGTCACATGTGCCAGCTGCCCCGTGCCCCCGTGGGTCGGGGTGTTCCTCGGAAGTGGCGAAACAGCCATAGATTTCCTGGTGACAGCAGTGACACCCAGATGGGGGTGCTGATAGCGGGCAAGATGCCCACTCTTGTGGGGATCCACCCATCCAGCACTGCCCCTCCTGGTGGGCTGCTCCACAGGCAGGCAGGGAGGTGGGATGGGATGTCCCCATCAGGAAGGGGACCCTGACAACTACTGGGAGAGATGCTCATCCGGACAGGTCATTGCTCCTGGGGGTCACTGGCCCCCCTGCACACCCACCCTGGCCCCACTTCCTGGTCCTTGCCAGCCCTGGAAGTTGCCAGGACAGATCCAGAACCAAGTGATGCAGCCACTGCCTGGAGCTATCCCAGATGGCTGGACACTGCAGGCAGGGAGCAGGCAGGATTTAGTGCTTGCACCCCTCAACTCCCCAGGGTGGTCCCCAGAGTGCAGCACCCATGCAGGGGCTCAGCCATCTCCTGTGCTGTGCCAGTGGCAGCACCAAGGAGACAACCACAGCCAGAGGACACGTCTGGTGGAGCTGAGGGGTGACACTGGATGCTGCAGCCACAAATGCCTCCCCCACAGGGTCAGAGCCCCCACTGCCCCAGCCCTTGGTGCCAAAAAGCCCTGTCAGCAATGGCCAGCAGCCGGGTGGCCACATGGAAGCTCTTCGGCATCCCCACGGAGCTCTGGGGCAAATGGCTCCTGCAGCCAGACCTGTTCCAGGACTCATCACAGATGCTCTTATTTTCCAGGCAGGGACAAGTAATCCCAGGTCCGTGGTCTCCTCCATGCATTTAATTACTGATGCAGGGTTAATTGGCCAGTTCCCAGGGAAGCTTGTAATAAGGCTCCAAGGGTGGAGGGTGCTGGGAGAGGATGAGCCAGGAGAGGAGCTCCCGCTGTGCTGCTCCCACTCCCACTGTTTGCCACCGCATCGAATTGGGCATGGGATGGCGAGAGAGTGGCTTTGGATCAGGTGCATGGGAGCTGACCCCTCTGGCAGAGGGATGGAGGATTTTGAGGATGCACCCACCACACCAGCCACACCACAGCTCTACCCGCCCAGCCCAACATGACCCAGAAATGCTGGTGCCTGTCCCAGTGCCAAACACATCCCAAGGGGACAGTGGTGACAACCCCCATGTACAGTCAGACCCAGAGCCAGCCCGGCTGTCTGGCTGGTGCAGGAGAGAGCCATGGGATGGGGACGGGGGTGGCTGGGGACCGTCACTGAGCAGAAGCAGAAGTGAACCATCGAGCGAAACCCTGAGCCTGCAGCACCGCTGGGGACTGGGGACCAGGAACAGTCACCCAGCCCCGGTGACAGCACCCCCCTGCCCGCACACCGCCCTTCCCGGTGCCACCACACCATCCCTACCTGGGCGAGCCGGCCGGAGCCGGGGTTGTTGCTGCCGAGAGCTGGTCACTGGGGCCAAATGGCTCCTGGGGTGCAAGGCGGAGGACGGCTGCGGCCCACGGCTCCTCCTCCGCTCCTCCTCCTCCTCCTCCTCCTCCTCGCCCCAGGCCCTGCGTGGGCGACCCGGCGTGGAAGTGAAACACGGCGGCCGCCGGCTCACTTGGAGCTTCCTCCCACGGGCTGTGGGACCGACCCAGCGTGCCACAACACCCCAAGGCCACCCACGGGTGTCAGCGGCTGGGGGCCGGGGTGGCCTCCCGGGAGAGGAAACAGATCGTTCCCACCTCTTCCTGGCAGAGAAACCGCTGTGCCTGAGTGGCATCTGCCAGTCCCCTGCCGGTTCTGGGCCATCTGCAGGGCAGCCGGTGCCCACAGGCTGCCCGCTGGCTCATGTCCCACCCCGTAGCCTGGGCACGCCACGCTCGACTGCCTGCCATCAACACAGCTCCATCCTGAGCACTGTGTGTGTCCCCATCACCTTGGGTAGGTTCTGAGCACAGTGTTCCGGTGTCACCATAACCCTGGGTCAGTTTGGAGCACCATGTCCCCATTTCCCCATCACCCTGGCTTGATCTTGAGCACTGTGTACCTGTGTACTGTCACAGCCCTGAGCACTGTCCCCATCTCCTCGTTAATCCAGGTTGGCACTGAGCACTGTCCCTGTCACCCTGCCTCAGGACCAACCACTGTCNTGTCCCACCCCGTAGCCTGGGCACGCCACGCTCGACTGCCTGCCATCAACACAGCTCCATCCTGAGCACTGTGTGTGTCCCCATCACCTTGGGTAGGTTCTGAGCACAGTGTTCCGGTGTCACCATAACCCTGGGTCAGTTTGGAGCACCATGTCCCCATTTCCCCATCACCCTGGCTTGATCTTGAGCACTGTGTACCTGTGTACTGTCACAGCCCTGAGCACTGTCCCCATCTCCTCGTTAATCCAGGTTGGCACTGAGCACTGTCCCTGTCACCCTGCCTCAGGACCAACCACTGTCCCTGTGTGTCCCCATGCCCCTGACTCAGCCCTGAGCACCATATCCCTGTCCCCATCACCCATCTCAGCCCTGAGCGCTGCCCCCAGTGTCCCTATCACCCCGGCTCAGCCTCAAGCTCTGTTCCCCCGTGTCCTCATGACCCCGGCTCGTCCGGAGCGCCGTCCCTCCTCCCGGCCGGGTGCCGCGGGGCAGCCGGGCTGGCTGGGCAGCGCACGGGCATTGCTGGGGGATGATTCACCGCAGCCCGGAGCAGATGTATGGATGCCTTTGCCGCGTTAGTACTTAGGGCCCGGCGACGGCGGCCCCACGACAGCCCAGCGAGACGGGCAAGGAGCCCCAAGCACCCGAACGGGGAGCCCCGGCGGCAGAGGCTGTCTCCCGGCCACCCCGGCGCCCTCCTGGAGAAGCCGCCGGGAAGTGGAACACGGGGAATCCCTCACCCCATGCCTGGGGACGGGCATGGGCTTGGCAGAGCCCACCCCGGCACGGCAGCGCCGGGGAGCCCGGCATCGTTCCCCGTGGCACTCGGTGTGCGCCGAGCACGCCCCGGCGCACCTTGGCCCCCCGCCACCTCCTGCGCCCCACGGGAAGGGAGGAACAGGATCCGTTCCCGTGCCAAGGCGAGGAGGGAAGATTGGGGAAGAAAGCGCTGGACGCGGGACAAGATCCCGGCGATAGGCGGCACGCGCGGGGCCCGGCGCGATGGGGCACATGTGTCCCGACCTGTCTCCCCGTGCCGGGAAAAACAATTAGCGCCGGGGCGGCGTGGGAAGCTCGCCAGGCACCCCGGGGCCGGGACTGCTGCCAGCGCTGAGCTCGGCTCTGTGCTCTACAGCCCCCCCACATCCAACGCTCTCCATGGCCCCCCGGCATGAGGAGCAGTGAGCTGGCAGGGCTCCTTCTGTCCCCGGCATCACCGTCACTCCACATCCACGCTCTCCCCGGCATCAGCGGTGGGGGTATTTTGGCAACGCTGTGCCCACCAAGGGGTCTTTCTTGGTGGGGAGAGGGGACAGAAGAGGAAGCGAGTCCTACCGTGCTCTGGTGTCCCCGCTGCCCCGCTGCCGTCTGCAGCCTTGCTGGGAGCTGCTGCCACCATGCAGGGTCCCCGTGGTCCCACCAGCCCGGTGCTGGGGGGGTTCCCTCTGGCTCCACGGGGCGCTGCTGGTGTCCCCAGTGTCGGCACCAGCACCAGCCCCCCGAGGAAGGCGGGCTGGGAGCTCACTTGCACTGTCTGTGGCTGTGACACCAGCTTGAAGGAGGCGGCTTGGGGGGCTGGCAGTGGGGGCAGCCCCTCGACCCTCCCCGGGGAGAGGGTGGCGGGGGCCGGGGCTGCCTCCCCCTGGCCCCAGCACAGCGGCAGGTGCCGTCGGGACGGGATGGGGCTGGCACTGAGGGTGACCCTCAGCTGCGGCCGGGACAGCATGCGGGGGGCCACGTCCCACTGCCCTGGCCCCTCTGGGACTGTGGGCAGCCCTGGCACTGCCTCTGTGCCATTGTATGGGGCCAGGGAGGAGAAGGAGGAAGAGGAGGAGGAGGAAGGCTGGTGGGTGTGAGGCTGGGGCGCAGGGTTCTGGGTGCTCCATGGCGAGGGGTCCTGCACGGAGGTCCCTGGCTCCTCGGCGATGTGCAGGTCCAGCGCTGGCAGTGAGCCATGGCTGGCGGCGGCCCCACAGAGAGGGTGATCCAGCACCCCTGGGAAAACGCTTCCATGGGATGGGACCTTCTTCAGGCCAGGGCTGGTGGCTGGGGGGGTGCCCGGTGGCAGGAGGGGCCTGGTGGGTGCAGGGCTCTCCAGGCTGGAGGATGAGCTGCGCAGGCTCTC